ACCCCTGGATAGCTGGTGGAGAAGAATTTGGGACCAATGGCTCATGGAAAAATTAGCAGATAATATGAAATGCAACTTAAAACCACAAAATCAAAGATTTTTTCAGGAAAAATGGTTTCCTCTTATAAACTATATTAATATAAATTTCATATCTGTTTCTCCTCCACCTAGACATTGTGCTTTATGGTCAGATTTATTTTAAATAAATTGAATTTATTTCCAGATTTTAAGCCTCAGAAAAAACCCACTTTTTTATTCCTTCTTTTTTATTCTGTACTTTTTTCAAGACAATGTGAATATATGTATTGATTATTTTGTTTTATTTTGTATTGTGTCTGTGTATTTATTGTATTTTATTATTTATATTCTTGGAATAGTTATAAATGTTTTTTCTGTAATTACATGTCATATTTAGTTTGAAATTAAAAATAAATAAATAAATAAAAGTGAATATATGGACTTCTCTGAAGAGTCTTTGCAAGTCTTGCTGTTGTTGTGTGCCTTCAAGTTTATGGTGACCCTAAGGGGAACATATAATGGAATACTTTTGGCAAGGATTGTGCAGATGGGGTTTGCCTTTCGCGGATGCGAAAAGAGCGTGACTTGCCCAAAGTCAGTGTGCTTCCATAGCTGAGCAGGGATTTTGAATCCTGGTCTTCCGAGTTGTAATCCAATACTCAAACCACTATACCATACACCTTGGAAATTGTAGCAAGCTGCTGCTCTATATTAGCTGAGCTGGAGATCTGCACTAGGCCCTTTCTGCTTACCCAGAGTGGAATCCACCGAACTGGAGAATTTGTACCCTCATCTCCTGCCTGGAGGTAAACTATGAAGATTAGAAACTTGGGGCCAGGCCTTGAGATCTGGCAACACGTGTTGCAGTAGAGACTTTAAAGGAGCTATTTAAGATGCCAAAACTATTTGAGTGAGAGGGGTAGCACCTTAAATATTTAATTGAAACCCCACATTAAAACCCAGAGTTGGTTCATTGCCTCATTGACACGCAGGCCACCAGCCAGCACTGCAGAAGAGTATGACATGCATAAAAGAGTGTGCAAATGTGAAAGATAAAGACTGTATGTAACTGTAGTAATAAATTAACTTAACACCTCTAAGCGTGCATTAGGCAGCAGACGCAGTGGAAGCAGAGAGGTAGCTTCAGGACAAGTATTCATTGACAAAGCTTATTGTCACACATACCACCCTGAGCTCTTTCAGAAATTACACAGGGTCAGGTTTGGCTAGTACTCGGATAAAAGACTACCAGGTAATGCCAGGTATCCCTAGGTGGAGTGAGGGAAGAATCCTGCCCGAAACCTGGGCAGACATGGCTACCAGCCAGAGTCGACTATACCAGATGATCTGACTCAGTATGAAGCAGCTTCCTGGGCTCCTAATAGGTTGAGTCCATCTATCTGTTTTGAATTCTAAACAGTATTTCTGAACTTGAATGCCTTTTAGACAATATGTACTAAGGCCTAAATTGGGGAGCTTGAAACCTCATAGCTGGGTTTGCTCAAGTTTACAGCACCCATTTTAAATAGTTTATTTTTCATCATGGATTTTATCACACAAGCCTCGGTCTCACCACAATTACGTTATTAAAAGAAATCGAAAACATACCGGTTTTGGACCTTTTATTACCAAACCTCTCTTCAATGGAGTGATGGGGGATTTTGGTGCCAGCAACAGTCCTTGTGTACTCTCCTCCTCATTCCCCCTTAACCCTGCTTCCCTGCCTCATTCCCTACCCAGCATGCCTTTCTTTTTTAAATTTGTATTTGTATTTATATTTGTAATGCAATTCCAGAATTATGGGAATGTGAGCTAATAAAAAAAAGAAGGGGAAAAAAGAAAGGGAAAAACATGATAGTAGGGGAATAAGAGAGTTGATTTGGCATAGTGGTTTGCATGTTAGACTGTGACTCTGGAAACCAGGGTTCGATTCCCCGCTTGGCCATGAAACCCACTGGGTGACCTTGAGCAAGTCACATGTTCTCAACCTCTGGAGAAGGCAATGGCAAACCTCCTCTGGACAAATCTTCCCAAGAAAACCTCACTATAGGTTTGCCCTAGGGTTGCATAAGTCAGAAATGACTTGAAGGCACACAGCAACAATGAAAAGATGTCCTCTAACAACACCTCAGAGCTACAACAGCAATGGATCAGAGGCAAAATTTTACAATAGGTATTGCCAAAGGTGCTATTCTTTTGCTAATATTGCAGTTTAAAACCCATGTACAATAAGGTCCTATACCAAGGTTGTTTGAAAGATATGTCCCTCTTATCCCAGTTTTTAAAGTTTTGATGTGTTTAATAAGTTCCACATTGTACTGAGACAGGCTATGCTTTAGGTCCAGGCTCCACAGACTACAGTCTGGAGAACCAGGTAGCCTCTAAAGTGCTCAGAGTTCGATTTCATATATGCTGCTGAGACAGAAGAAATGGCAATAAGTGTCTTTGCTCCCGCCCCCAGTTAAGGAGAGTCATTGGCATGTGTGCATGCTGTGCTTGTGTGTATGTGTGTGGCTCCCAGTTCCTGAGCCAGCATCTCATATCATCTTGAGGGGCTGGAAAAAAAATGGTACGCTCTTGCCTTAGGGCATTGCCTAAGCACTGAGCTGCAACAACAGAAGAGAAGAGAGATGCCCTGAAAGCTGGTTCTTAGAAAAGGAATTTTTCAGAGAGCAATGGAAAGAAAATGAGAGTTAAAGGGGGTGGGGATGGGAAACTGGGCATGGAAAAGGGGAGCACCATGGAGCATATGTGGCATGTCATCATGTTATTTATATGACCTGCTAGGGAATGATAATGTTCAAAACCACAATATTGTTCATAATCTTAACAATGCATCTGATCTCATGAACTGATGATGTTTTGCTTGCTTCTCCAGTGAGCCGAAGCTCACTCAAGTGAGTCACCTGGAGCTATTTTTTTCTACAGGCAACTGTTCAGCAGTATACTCCTTCTCTCTATTTCTGGTGGCACACTCTGGTCTTGGTTGTATAAGCTGATTGGTGGGTGTGGAGGAGGCTGGTGGATGGGTAGGCTTTCCTCACCACTTGTTTTCCCTTTCCCCTTTTAATTTGCAAATTCATTTTAAAATCTCATTGCAAAGTAGCTACTAGCTATAGAGCTAGTGAAAGCTCCGTTTTTGCATGTGTGTTGTTTATCTGGTAAAGTTACTTTAACATTATGGCTCGGCTCAGCACATCATTGAAGTGGGAATTTTGCAATTGAATACATGTATAAAGAGGCAATCTTGAACTCATTTTCAACCCAGTGAGGGTTCTGGAATTTGGCACAAGCCCTGCTAATTGGACTGAATGTGAGCTAGACTACTGGCCTGAAAGATACACTGGTGAGACACTTCAGATCCATGTATATACATGTATTTATGGACAGTCTACTGGAAGAAAAAGTCAGACAGGAAGCTGTGGGTGAACAGAGCAGGAGCACATTTTCATGATATCCTATAATCCCAGACAGAGCAATTTAAAGACACTGAGAGGCAGAATGCTAATTTGCGATCTCTGCCCACTACCTCCTTTTCCATAATGTTTGTGGAGCTCAAGTTCTTGGGATTCCAAAATAAATTATTTGGGAGTGATGCAGTAATGCCAATATTGATGTGATCTCTTTGTATGACGATTTCTTCATATGTGATGCCTGGAGTAATTATCTTTGTGTTCCCTTCCCCCTTATTAAGGCCCTGCCTCTCTATCATGGCTATGCCCCCACTGATGGCAAATATTGCCCCAATCCTGGACTGCTGGCAATGAATGTCCTTCCCACTGACTTCTTATTGAATGCAGTAAGAATTCAATTCTTACTGAATAAGAAGGAGAAAATTATTTTTAAAATAATTGTCCCTGTATTTGCAAGGATCATGATCATATGACAAAGTATAGTATTGTGTTAACTCAGCACCTCATCACTGCACATCACCACCAATCTATAAACCCAAAACAAAGAAGCTAGAATTCAGATGACAAGTGCACAGAAATGGGAATCTCCGTTGTCACATTTCATTCACAGTTAGAGTTCACAACCAGGGACCCAAGTGATGGAGATCAGGGAGAAGTCTGCACCAAAAGCAGAGGATTTTGGCTTCCAGAAAACCACCCATTTCTAGAAAACAAGTGGGAATATGAGCATGTGGCTAACATGTCTCTGCCTAGAACCCTAACTGTAACAGCTACTGGTGAGTCTAAGCAGAAATACTCTGCCCACTCCACTCCCTACTTCACCACCTGAATACACACAGGTGAGACAGAGAAAGAGCAACTGTGCTACAGGGCAGAACTGTTGTGACTGTTTTCTGTGCCTCTTCTCCACTCTGCTCCACTGCTGCCAAACTCCCATGTCTAAACAGTATAGCTCTTAGGTACATTACCTTTCAACAGTCCCTGACTGGTGGGTATTAAGTGGTTATTCCAGTGATGCTGGGAATGTAGCGTCACCTTTAGATTTTAGGTATTATTTATGGAGTTTGCCCTCTCCACTCCTAAGTGCAGCAGGTATTGAGTGGGTGACTGCCAGTGTGGCAATGGTTTATCTCCATCCCCAGAATGATCAGATTTATAGGACTGACAGAACTATCATATGTATTTCCTGCATCAGAAAACATGTGCTTCCTACTTCCAGGTGACATAACACAAGAGCATGTTTGGCTACATGTAGGCAGAGCACAGTCTGCACTGGTTCTGAAATACACAATGTGTGATTATCTATGACAATATAGATGTGGATGTCTCCTACCAAAGAACATTTTAATATAAGAAACATTCATAATTATTGGTACTATATGGATTGAGGGCCCTTTTACACTGCACAGTCACAAGACTATTTGTTGTTGTGTGCCTTCAAGTCATTTATGACTTCTGGCCACTTTATTGTCACCTGAAACCTGGTAGGTTTCTATGGCTGAGCAGGGATTTAAACCCTGGTCTCATAGTGTCCTAGTCCAGCAGTCAAGCCATTAGTCCTGGTTCTCACAGGACTATGATTCCAGTTGAACTGCCATGGCTCCATCCTGTGGGATCCTAGGATTGGCAATTGAAGGCGAACTCTATAAAATCCTCAGCCAGGGAGCTCCTCTGCTGCCTCTGACCAAACTACAAGTCCCAGTATTCCAAAGGAAGCAGACATGGCAGCTAAAGTGGAATCAATGTGCTATAACAGGGGTAGGCAACCTTTCCTCTTTAACGGCTGAGGGACTTCAGCTCCCAGAATCCCAGGAGCTATTGGCCAACATGGGACTATTGGCCAACATGGCTGAGGCTTCTGGGAGCTGAAGTCCCTTGGCCCTTAAAGGGGAAAGGTTGCCTACCCCTGTGCTATAACAATGCCCCTGTATCTGCAAGCGCCATGGTGTAATTGAGCACCCATCATGTCACATCACCACCAGTCTATAAACCCCAGATAGGTAAGTGATGATTGTGTGTAATGTGAAAAGGTCCCATGATTTTATACATCATGCATATGTGCCAAACATCTCCAAACTGGTGGCTTCCATACATTTTGGAGTACAATTCTTGCCACCACCTTGCTTGCATGGCCAAAGGTATGGGATGGTGAAGACTGTCAGCCCCTGAATATGGGATGTGTGTTGTTGTGAGAGGCTGGTGTGTACAGTCTGGCCTATTATGCTCACTAAAATGATTTCATGTGCCAGTCCCACTGCCTGTATGTAGAAAATGTGATTGGTTGTGGCTCCTGGATGCATTAGTAATGCCTCTGATTCCCTTTGCTTTTAAAATCTAAAAGTAAAACAGATGCCTATCTTTACCTACAACATCCAAACAATGATATCTTTATTGGGACATTGTTTGGATGTTATTGGATTTGCTATATGGCCAACATGGCTACCCCTAGATGGTTTTTATCTTTGCCTGTTTCAGAGATGACAGTGTGTGCATGTGTTACATGCAAAATGGTGTGTCTATTAAACCAGGAGTCCAAGATTTGAATAAAACTGGTGGGAATTAGTTTGTAGGTCTGGGAAGGTTCCCCAGCCATCCCAGATCACTTGGTCACCATCTCAGTGGGCCAAGATGCAACTGGAGCTCCAGAATTTGCACCCTTTTCTTGCTTAGTGAAGTCAGCATCTGCTACCAGACCCAGGGTGACCAGATGTCCTCACTGTAAAGGAGAGCAAGGCACTGTAAAATGTAGGGCATCCTAGGGAAAAATGGAGGACATGACCCAACAAAACCTAAAAACACTTATAGCAATATCAATGCATGCTCCTGAGCCAGGCTCAAAATGGAGGACGTTTTGGAATGCTTCCTGGACAGAAGGTTGAAATGGAGGACATGTCCAGGGAAAAGTGGAAAAGTGCCAGGCCAAGGGGTTAAAGACATAATGGGTGCAGGTGTGTAGGGTGCAGACAGAGAGGCACCTACATGAATGTTGTGGGTCCCCAAGGACACGTGTTTGTGGGGGGGGGGGGGGGGAAACACAGAAAGGTTGGATGGTGCCATGTTGGCAGGTATGTGAATGAGAGGTGTGTCTGTGAAAGTGAAAGCACACACCAGCCTCCCACAACAACAGGCCTCCCACATTCAGGGGCTGACAGTCTTCACCATCCCTTGCTTTGGTCTTTGTGTGTGTTTCCAAGTCCACCTTGCTTGAGAAAAGGGCTTGTGCAGGTGTGCAAAGGTGTGTATCTTCTGCAAGTGGGAGGAGGGGGGTCACCTTTGGGGACACGTGGGGCGATCTTCCCCTTCCTCACCTTCACCAAGAAGCCATGCCAGCTCAGGGTGGCCAGAGGTCCTTACCCCAAAAAAAGAAGAGGAGGAGGAGGAGAAGGCTCCGCAAAATGGAAGACATGCTGCCCCCAAGGAAAGCTAAAAGGCACTCCTCCTAGGCTGCATCCGCACTGCAGAAATGATCCGTTTGGACACCGCTTTAGTTGCCATGCCATGGAGCCAGCCCAATCAAAGCGGTGTCCAAAGG